TTAATAAATTTGGAGAGAGGATGTTTAACACAGCCATTCCAAAACTGCTCAATTCAATGCCAGATGATATATTAGAAGTAACATCTAAAAGGGAATTGAAAAAAAATTAAAAGAATGGTACACAAGGTACTAGGCATGACATAAAAATAGAAAGCTCTGGAGTTATCTCTTTAGCTTGTTGCTCATTACCATATTGTTTTATTTATAATTTATTTGTTATTGAAAAAAAATGGGGGGGGGGGGAATTCTGTTAGATTTTTGATATGTCGTTACAAGTTTTTAATTATTAACTGCTATACTGTCATTACAAGATTTTATTTTGTTAATTATGTACAACTAAATTTTCAATGATACTGTAAACTACCACATCACAAGATTCTAATGTGTAAGAAATATATACTCTAATTCAGTATGTTGGTTTTAAGTTTGTTATTCTATTTCATTTTTGTTGCACAATCCATTTGTTAGTTTAGATAATAATTAGATGATTGTGATTTCTTTTTGCGTGTTGAGTTTCGTCATTGCATGATTTTCTTTGTTAATCATGTACAACCAAATCTTCATACTGTAAACTGCTGTCATCACAAGATGATAATTGGAATATAACATACAATGTTCCTGTTACTCTCATTCAGTTTTATTGTTGTTTAATTCATGGGGTTATTCTATTTTATTTTTGTTTTATATTTTAGATAATAATTTGATTGTAATTTGTCAACTAGTAATTATGTCAATTGTTAATTGGTCACTGTATATACTAAGTTTTGTTTGTGTCCTATTATGTTGATTTGATTGGTTACTACAAGTCTTCAACATACTAATTAAGTATAACTTAATACCCATTTTTGCCTGTTGTCAACTGCCATCTAGTTTCATTTCTTTACAATCCATTTGTTAGTTTAGAGAATAATTGGATGAGTTTATTTTATTTTTGCCTGTTGAGTTTTGTTATTACAAGATTTTATATTGTTAATTAGGTACAACTAAATCTTCATATCGTAAACTGCCCTCATCACAAGATGATAATTTGTAAAAAATGTATAATGTTCCTATTACTCTCATTCAGTTTTGTTAATTGTTCACTGTATGGACTAATTTTTGTTTTTGTGCCCTATTATTTAATTCCTAACAATTTATAATCGGACAATTTAACTTATGTTAATGTCAGCTGCCATTTGGCTTATATGTTCTATTTGTTTCTTGATTTGTTAATTTAGACAATAATTTAATTTGGTTTTGCTTGTTGATTTGTCACTACAAATTTTCAAAATGTTAAGTATAACTTTATTTTCATTTTAGCCTGTTGCCAACTGACATCTCTTTTTATTTATTTACAATTTATTTGTTATTTTAGATAATTTGATGATTATGATTTTTTTTTTGCATGTTGAGTTTCCTGGGAAAAAGTCTAAATTTCAATAGAAACAATTCACGCAGCATACAATAACTGGCAAACAGTACAGATGGTGGGTGAACTGTAATCAACCATGGTAATACAAAAAAGAAAAAAACAAACCAAAACAAATAGCACAATGTAACACACCCCTCTCTGACAAGTACAAAAAGTATTTGGTGAGGGTTTGAAGTGTACCGAATAAGATAAAATATATTTAAAAATATATTTAAATTTAAATCTGATAAGACCAGTATTTTTACTGAAAGGTTAAACAAGATGTAATGTATGTAATGTAGTCGAACAAAATTGGTATTCTTTCTTTATTATTATTATTATTATTATTATTAGTATTATTATTATTATTATTAGTATTATTATTATTTATTTTTATTTATTATTATTTTTTGTGTAGGAGGAAAATCCTTTATGGATACCAGTGAAGCTGGTGAAGTTGGACTCCCAGCGAGGTTACCGACTAAAAACCTAACCTCCCTCTCTTAAACCGTTTTCTCTCCCACATGGACACCGTCGTTTGACACTACTTCACACAGGAGATTGGCTATTCGCAGATGCACTACTTCTGTCCCAATTCTTTCTTCATAATACTAACTATGAGGTTCTCTATTGTTTTCTATTTCTCCTGGGAGCTCAGCATCATGTCGACCATGTTGTCTAGATTTACATCTTGTTGGTGGTTGACATTACAAACCTCTCGTTCCTTGTCTCATGCCTTGCACTGGTTCTGCATCATCTGTGTCTGCGTGACAGAATACATGTGGGCCTCTCTTCAATCCTGAATTCGTAGAGGTTTTTATTAAATCTCCCATGTTCCGTAAGAGCCTGGGACAGGTAATAACCCACCTCCCCAAAACTTCGGCTAACCCATCTGTCGATGTTTGTAATACCGATGAGTCCATCTGCCTTTGACATCCCCATCCCATCTTCCTTGCCATTCTTCAAGGGGCAACGTCCTTACTTCTGCTTTAACACTCTCAATTTGCTTGGGAGGGAGATGATTGTCTGCTTGTGCTTCCTTCAAGGCGAGGTACGTCCTCTTTCTTTCCATGGCTATTAAGTCGATAGGTGGTGTACTGGCCAATACCAGCACTGCGCAAGTGGACACTGTGCGATAGGCACACGCCACCCTCAAGGCCATTCGTCTTTGTAGTTGTGCATACTTGTGTCTGATTGATAGACAGCTTCTCCAGCCAACCAGCCCAGACATTAGAGCAGCATACATCAACTGTGAGTGAACTATTCCAGATATCATTTTTTTCTTGACTTTTCACGGTCCACGGTCGCCGAAAACGAAGCAGAAGGGGGCCACGTGACCCCACGGACCAAGGGAGGCCGCCGCAACTCACAAGCTCGGCCATTCGAATGTAGACGGCGAGAGCGGAAAGTAGTCAATGATGATGAAGGAAGCGAGGGTGGAAAGTTGGCCATTCTGATGAAGGAGGCGAAGGTGGAAAGGTTTTTTTATCGCTGACGAACGCCGCTGAATGCGCTGCTGCGCGTCGCCGAACGCCGCGCCGCACGTCGCTAAAGGGCATTGCCCCTCCCCCCCCGAGACGCCACGCCGCAGCCGCACAACTACCGACTCGCCCGAATGCATCACCGCAACGTCGCTGACCGCTCCGGTGTCGCTCGGGCCAGGACGAACACCGAGAAGTAGCTGCAAAGAGGAGGCTTGGCGGGCAATGTATGGGCGCCCGAACTCTAGCCCAGGACTCACGACGGGCCGAGGCGCAACCACTGCTGCCGTGAGCCACGCCGCCGACGTTCGGATCAAGCGTTGCTAACGCCTGGGACGCCATTATGCCACCCGCTGTTCTGAACGCCTTGCGAACGGGTGAGGAGGAGGTAAACTAGTCGACGACCCGCAGCGGGAAGCCAGGGCCCGCAGTCACTTGACCGCGCTGCACCAGACGGCCAGGGGAAAGGTCCGCTGCTTGCGTCACCGAAGTCATGGGGGTGGGCGCCGTCCGGCCTGAAAGGGCGAACATTGGCCTCAATGGGCCGTACTAAGATAAGCTAGATTAAGTTAGTTTTAAGAGAGAGACATGTTTGTAACGAGAGGCCTCACCTCGGTCAGAGAATGGATATTAAATCCACTTGAAAAATGCAGTCTTGTGTTTCAATGCATTCGAGCATGAAAAAAAACAACCCTATCATGCATGCATCCTATCAGAGCCTACAGACTGAACAGCCGGGGCTACGCTGGATCAGGCAAACAAGTAATCATGTGAGTCGGGTCAGCTATTAGGTGATTACAATATTCAACATTTTCGAAATTTCCTCAAAAAGTACTTAAATTTTTTTGAAACATTATCCTTGGATAGCGAACTCTTAAAAGAACGATGCAGGTCTCAGTTTCGTTGAAATTTCTAGTTTTTCGAGAATTGTCGAAGTTCGACATTTTCCCGGCGATTTTCTGCAACTACGATATTGAAGATAAAAATGTTTCTTAATAAAATCTTGTTGAAAGGCAGATCTTGAATTATGGCCAACTACAATTTTCAAAAAATGTGAGTAACTCTTATGTGATTTTGAGTGAAAAATGAGCAAGTTTTAAACAATTATTTTATCAAAAACGACTCCATTTTTTCCTCGTATGTAGCGAAAGTTAAAAAATGATGTTGGTCCCACTTTCGCAATCGGTACACATTGCAAAATCAAACTCTGTATTTTCGAATATTGCATAAAAAATAACACTGCCAAAGAACAATTTGGATGAAAGAGATTATCAATTTAAATTAAATCACTTCTAAAACCTAGGTCGATCAGTAAGGTCTTACATAATTTTTTGAAAAAAGAGTAATTTTCAAGTAATTTCTGATTGAAGTTACTGCAATTTATAAAAACAATTCTCAAAAATGGCCCCAAAGTTCTTTATTTTTCTAAGATAGAATAAAGAATGCTTGAAACTGGTGCAAGTTCCATTTTCATTGAACTTCCTGCACTTTCGATTTAAAAAAATTGTTGTGTCTTCGTCGACGCAAAGTTTCTCCGAACCCTTGTTGGTCGTTGAGCGCCTGGCATGGAGTAATACCCCGTTATTATTTTGGTGAAGACTCGCCACAACGCAGTCAGTCAGAGCCTTTTAACCCCTCGGGCCGGGGGTCGACATTTTGTCTACGGTAAGTAAGCAAAAATGACACGATGAAGGTGTACAAGATGCAGTATTTAAAATGTACTTCATAAATGTGTTTCAATGTCTTGTAGCAATGTGGTAGATAGCAATATTGGTCTCTGGCTACATTTAAAATTCCCGCAAACGCAAACTGGCGCCGAAGCCTATTGGATGAAGTCGGATACAAAGCAAAAAAGTCCCTCCTGATAAGGAGCACAGTGTATAGCAATCGACTTTCCCTAGAGAGAATGGGAGAAAGGAGAATACGGAGGAGAATATACGTGCTGTTTTAGCACCACTAGTTTTTTTCGCCTATTTACAGTTCACCAGTTCTTTGTCCTAAAGACGAAAGTTGCTGTAATCATTGTTGTGAACGCTGTAACTTGGGAGACGAAACTGAAATTGGTAACAGACAAATGACAAGAACACTACTAATAAAATAAAATTTTGTTTTTGCCTTTGAGATTTCAGGTCTATATTGAATATTCCGCATTTATTAATAGTCTGATGCAAGGTAATTATTTATTATTATGATATAAATGTATATAATTATTGTACATCACACTTGTTTTCTTATTTAAAGAAATATAAAAAAAGCACATTCAGTGGTTGAGAGTTGTATGTTTTATTCAACAAATACATACAATAATGGAATATTTGTTGTTGTTTTTTTCTACAAAATTAGTGTCCCATACGAAGTCCATGTTTTATAGTTGTAGAGTTCTATAGTTCATTTCATGTTTTACGAGGTATTCATCTCAACATTAACAAAATTTGATAAAATATTCTCCTGTGCTAAATAGATTCTAAATTGAGAGTGAAGAGCAGAAACTGAGTGTGCGTGAGCGCCTCAAAATCATGGAGAGGGCGGCAGTGGGATGGCGCCACCGTCGCGGGCCGCGTGGTCGCCGCGTCGTCGCAGTCGCAGGCAAGCGGCCCAAGGCGGCGACGACGTCCTCGTGGACCGAACAGCGCGTGCACCGGCGCCGCGCCACGGCTCAACGCCCTGGCTCGGGAGGTAAGGCGCTTGAAACTATTTATTTGTTGTTCAGGCCATCATTTTAAATTAAGGACAACCACAATGAAAAGTGCACAAAAGTCTTCACATAATAATTGTATTCACTATGTGAAGAGATGCGAAGACATTCCTTATGTGAAGACATTTTTGCACTTATCATTGTGATTGTCCTTAATTTAAAATAAGGGACTGAATAACAAATAAATAGAATTATAGTGTGACAACCATTTTAAGACTTAATCTTAATAATAAGGCTTTTGAAGTGCAGATGAGAACGGGGTGGATTCTTGAATTGAGGTTTTGGTGTTCATATGCCTCTGAGTGTTCTACATACTATAATTCATGACAAACTCCAAAGAATTTCGAGGTTACTCGCTTTCATATTGAAATGAGTGTTATGAATTGAAACAATATTCAGCGTTTATGTGTAAACACATCCCCTTAATGTGAATTGCGGGTAACTTGCGAGAAATAATGGCCATATAGCTTGGAAAGTTTGATTAAAAGACGCAGAAACTTGCGATATTCATTTCTTTAATTAAATAAATCTGTGTTATTGACTTAAGAAGTATTTGTTTACAGGAAAAATATTTTCGACAACCATACGTCACGTGTAGGGGAGAAGTACAAACTCCACAATCTTTTTGAACTCTGGAATATCGTCACCTTCATTATTTACGATTAGTTGAATTATAGATAAAGGAAGCAATGACGTTGCGAAAAAACTAGCTAAAAATAAATGTAAATACGCTTGCAATTTTCTGTTGCTCGCCACCTTTACATCACCTCGTCAGTCACCGCCCCCCCGCAACGATCCCTGGACCTTTTTCTTAGGGTATTGCTCCGGCATTCACCTAGGATTGGTCGGAGAAACAACGGAAAACTACCGGTCAGAGCAGCTGGCCTGTCGACTTTAGACAGAGGCTGAATTCGACTTAGATTTAGATGTCAGATTCAGTCAAAAAACAGTAAAAACTGTGTGACTTAGGGGGGGGATTATCTGCGCACGTTTTCTTGAGTTAGAGTATCCTTTCCGGTCAATTCAACTATAAATAGTTGAAAGATGAATAATGTTGAACATAAATAAAAAAATATAAACCGCAAGATTAGCAATACTTGAAAAAACAATTTTCGTTACTGAGTTATAGAAAACTTATTTGCGTCGGTACACGAATTGCAAGAATAATTTTTCTGCATTGATAACAAAATAGCAACTCGCCCTTACCTCTACTCTTGCCATTGCAAGGAAAAGGAGAGTTCAACAAAACGTGCGCATAGTGAAGCTACATTTACGTCCAGAAGCAAAACAAGAGGCCATCTCAGCATTTGCTCAATGGTTCGGGGAAACTGGACAAAAACCTGATCGAGATGGGACTTAACTTGTAGTTACTACGCGACATCGCCAGCCTGACTATTCCTGACCTCCCTGTCAGAGACACCATCGGCCACGAATATTGTCACCTAGCCATTTCATCTTGCGATTTCCATACATAGTATACTGTATTTTAATATTGTACTATACGTCTGTTTTAGTAATAGAAGCAGTTAGTTTAAACGACTAGTATATATTAGCCAAAAATAACAAATGTTTTACAGCACATCTCTTTCCATTACAACATTTTTGTCCTATTATATGGTATTTTTGAAATGTCGGATATATAATAAAGTAAAAAACATAATGTAAAATTAAAGATTAAACAAAATAGACCACTAAAACAAAATACTGTGGTGGAATACATGGCACTGTTTTTATTCGTTTGAATATATTATTTTGGAGGGATATAAAAATCAAGGCTTAAACATCATAAACATATTACGAAAATACTCCACAGATATATGGAAGAAAACGAAAAAAGCAAACCTTTCTTTTAAAAAATTTGTTTTCCCCGATCATCCAAATTACCACACTATAAATTGACTTACAAATCAATGTAATTGGAAAAGTGTTTAACTTTAAACGTGCTTTTGTAGCACCAATAGTTCACCTTTCTTTGGTAACCACGAAGCATTCTATCCAGGTACGTTCTCCCAGTGCATTGCTATGTCGGTCAGACGGAAATTTGAATTATGATCGCATCCCATACTATTTATTCATATTTAATGTTTATTTTCTTTTAAAATACTGCCGTATATGAACATTTTTGCAAGAGGACAGGTATATATTTGAATGACGAATTATTCCCTTGTTTTCGGTTTTGTTGTTTTCTTGAATCATTAATTTACTTGGGTACAGAAGATATGTGAAATTAAGTATCTCTAAGTTAACTCGCTTACGGACGGCTTACAGTTTTCTGAAGAAACAAGAATCCTTGTCTGTTACTCTCCTAACCTGAATGTAGAAAGTTAATGCTCTTATCGCAATCTTCAGTAAACACGATCCCGCAATCAAGATATTTTGAATTCAAAATATTTAATTTTACTCTCAATTGTGATATGGAAATATGAATGTTGTATTATTTGGTTTTAATGTATGAATTCTATGATTTAACAAATAAAGTGGAAATTAATACAGATGAATTTGGAGAAAAAATTGTAAACTGACTATTCCAAAAGACTATTATTTGTCAAGAAAGTTGGGCAACTCCTACTTTTCTGGCTTCAATTGCTCTTGCTCCCCTGGGAACACTGTTACATTACCTCTCTCGCCTCTCGACCTTGAGACGCCACAAAATTCAACGTGATACGTTCTCGGAACTTTCACAAGTGTTTCCAAAATTTCATTTTATGAAAATATGAAATTCATCAAAAATAAGCTAGTGGTGCTACAAAAGAATATAACTTCTCGCATTATTTGGAACGATTATCTAGTATTATAATATAATACTCTCTGTTCTACTGCCGCTTCAGAAATCACTTCAAAAAGTGCTAGTCTCTCAACCGAAGCAACTGCGGTGCATACATGCAAATATTTCTATCGCCAGAGAGCGTCAATTTTTTTCATTTTCATCATATTGACACAAGAGTAATTTCTTACTTCTACAATAACCAAACAAACGTGAAAAAATCTCATCTCTTACAGTATTTGTTGCAAAATTAGGTAGTCACAGATAAATTAACAACACATTAAAATGAGCTATCCATTTTGAATAATTATGCCAACATCAAGTGATCTAACTTTCAAAAATATCAGTAAAAGTGCAATCCGTAAGAACTGCACATCGTAAAAAGTGTACAAGAATTTATTGTATCATAGTGTTTTAATTTGTATTTCTATTAAAATTGGTGTTCTTTGTCAATCAAAGAGATATGTCTGGCGGGGTGTGTGTGTGTGTGTCTGTCTGTCGGGCGGTGTGTGTGTGTGTGTGTGTGTGTGTCTGTCTGTCGGGCGGTGTGTGTGTGTGTGTCTGTCTGTCTGTCGGGCGGTGTGTGTGTGTGTGTGTGTGTGTGTGTGTGTGTGTGTGTGTGTCTGTCTGGCTGTCTGGCTGCCAGCCAGTGTCTGGCTGTGTGTGTCCATCGCCACAGTTGCCAAAATGGTTAGTAAATATGATTCTTGAAGCGTCCAATAAATCAGAAACATACATTTATTTTCAAGATGCGTTTAATCTATTTGCAATTAGTATTATAAACAAATATAATGATTTGTAATATATTTGTGAGCCTCTTAAGTAAATTGGTTTACATTTAAAACAGTGTATTTATTTTTGAACCTTCACACATTTTCTGGACGTAAAAATCTTCAAATTATTGAACATTATGAATTATCCACCACATTTAAACTTTAATTGTTTCTAACTGCAAAGAATACTAATTCAATGAATTTACTTTTAATTATTACTCGTTACGGCTTTATAATACTACACTGTTTAAAACATTTCGAGAGGGTCAGAAAATATAGAATTTTTGGAGGAAGATTCACCGCCAATTATGTAATAGAAACGTCAACTCTTTTGAATTTTGTATTGTGTAAATAATAATACAAATGTTCTTTACAGAAGCAGCTAATTATGGATGAAGCGGAACAAATTAAGGCAGAACCAGGACTCCGAGAGAAGCTTTTAACAAAAATAGCACTTCGTTGTCTACTGAGAATAAAAAATAACATGGAATTATATCCAATGTCCCGAGAAAAAAATTTCATGATTTTATCAGAGACTCTCAAAAAGTTTGAACTTCTTAAAATAACAATGTGCAAACTTGAGAAGTTTGGAGGTATGTGCTTTGTATTTTCTAATTCTCCGTAGTTTCTCAATCGCGGCCGTATACCTTTGGTAATATAAAACTCCTGTATGTCAGAAGGCATCTATTACATTACATGGCGTCGAGGGCTGTCAGCTCGGAGCTTCCAGAAAGGTAGCGAGACCTAGAGTTCGGAGGGCATCACTTAGTTAATAGCGTCCATTCCGTTCGTAGGGCATCTCAGATGTCAGCTGTTTTCTTCATATTCCTATTTATTTATTTATGCTAAAAAGAGTGAAAAACCTGTGTGTGACGTGCTAAGGTGAGAAGTTAATTTGAAGTTACATTTATGTCCAGAAGCAAAACAAAGGGGCAATCTCAGCATTTGCTCAAGGATCAGAGAAACTGGACGAACATCTGATTGAGATGGGGGTCATTGACCCAGAAGTTGAAGTACAATACTTAATACTGATTCTTTACAATTATACAACCCAAATGATATAGAATACATTAAATGTCATTGTTAAAATTATTAATACATTCCTTTTGGATGCTCGGTATAGTATCCAATAGTATAGAAGCAGTTGTGCAGCAGAAAATATTTTACTTGGAACTTAAATTTTTGTGTCGAATTTAATCGTTTAATATCATCTAGCAAGGTGTTGTAAAATAATGTAGATGTATTATATGTGAATTTTTTGTAGTGAGCTATTGATACTGTTACCTAATAAATATGATTACTACGTAGAGTGTTGTATTCCGAGATAAGACCTCCATCCCACTATGAGACAAAGCCGTGAATCGAAAAAAGATGTGTTGAAATACATACGAATGCTGTTGAAATACACACGAATGCTATCCGATAGAAAATATTTTGCTACGCT